GCCGGAACAGCTGGGAGGTTTCTTCCAGAAACAGCACAGCATGAGAGATGTGTTCGCATTCGCAAAGAGATGCTAGATTCATTACTTTTTGCGCTCCGCGTGCCGGCCTCGCATGCCAGTGAAAGTCCTGTAGGCCAATCGAAGATGGATGGATGGCTGGATGGATGGATGGCTGGATGGATGGATGGCTGGATGGATGGGTGGGTGGGTGGGTGGGCACCTGCTGGACAACACAATTTCTATATTGGCAGAGTTTCGCTGCGGTAAGAATGTTTTCGACAGATACCCAATGCAAGGGTTTTGGAGATGTGTTTTGCAAGTTTGCTGGAGTTCTCCACGGAAGTTTAGACGTTGGGGCTATATCAGGATTTGCTGATGGTTCTCATGAGATAAAACTGGTGGGAGGGTTCCTGCAAAGTTGCCAAGGTACCCTTGCAGAACAGCTGAAATCTAGGCTCTGAATCTCGAAGTGTTCAAAGAGTTGGGATTTGTAGGCAATTCTTGCACACGTGCTGGGAATTCCCATTGAAGCTGACAGGAATTGTCCGAGAACCATCCTGTGCAATTCAAGCAACAACTGCCACAGCAAAGCAAGTTTTTACGTTACTGACAGAAGTAAACAAAGAAAACTGCCGCAGAAGTAAAGCAAGCGTCCTATTTTGCCGCCTCACTTTGGCTTTTCATGTGTCCAAGCTCTTTGCTTTTTGACTTTTCTGAGCTCTGGGGCAGATATTCTCTTTCCACTAAGCCGAAATCTAGCGGGACCATTGTGCATGCCTCGACCGTCTTTGAAACCTGGGACGCTGAGTCATGTATACATATAAATATGTATATAGAAATAATATGTATAATATGTATATATACATATATATATATATGTATATATGTATATGTGTGGGTGTTCCGTCTGGTAGAGAAAACACACAATAAAACTGCCCTTACTTCTCTCCCCAAATAGAATAGGTGTTGCGTTCCGTAGGAAAGGGTCCGCCTCCCACAGGGGGAGCTTCTGGACCGAAGAGACAGGGACCTTTGAGCACTCCAAGTGTAACTAAGGGTGGAGCTTTTTAGCGAGTGCTTGTTCCAATTTTTTCAGCTCGGAAAAAAAGGCAAGCCATAGTCAGTCGTCGTACATACACACATATATATATATATATATATATATAGGGTCCAACCCCGCAACCCCCCCTCCCCCCCATCCCTCCTCCCCCCCTGTGGCATGGTGGGTGGGCTGGTTCGAGTTTTAGGGTTGGTTTCGGGATTGCTTAGGGTTGGTTTACGGTCGGCTTGGAGTTTGCCTTTGAAATCTGGAAGATTGATTTGGGATGCGTTTTGGGAAACGGCCTGCTCGCCCTGTTGGTTTTAGGGCTTGCTTGCGTTTGGTTTGGTCTTAGGTGGCGTGCTTGCTTATGAAAAGAAATTTGTGTGAGCGGGTGGTAGGGAATGGTCATATCCAAAAAGTGCGGAGCGAGCCCAAAGCGACACATCGGTCCAGGGGTCGACCCCGCCCAAACGTGCGCGGAATCTGGGCTCTGGGGGGCGGGGGCGGGGGGGGGGGGGACACCAGGCGGGGGGGGGGTAGGAGGGCGGAGGGCGGGCCCGCATATAGAAATATATATATATATATATATACATGTTGTGCAGCGTTATCAGCCCCCCCTTCCCCCCCCTCGCCCCGCCCCGCCTCCCCCACACCTCCCTCCCCCACACCCCACACCCCCCACACCCCCCACACCCCCCCACACCCCCCACACCCCCCACACCCCCCACACCCCCCACACCCCCCACACCCCCCCGCCCCCACACCCCGCCAATGGTCATGGATCAGGCAAGTACCCCCCCCCCCGCCCCTGTAGTGGAATTGTGGTGGTTTGGTGGGGTAGGGTTGGTTTGGGGTTGAATAGCTTGTTAGGCTTACAAGCTATAAGGCTGTGCCTGTCCAACTGGCGGACAACATATTCTCAAAGCTGATAGAGATTGCATTGCTTCAATGTTGCTCAGGATTTGGTTGACATCACCTATGGTTGGCTGAATTACCAGGCGCCGCCAGAGCGGAGTTGCATCTCGTGCAATGGTATTTATGCGGCACTTCAGGCATACACCCACACACTGTGCTGAGGTAGAACATCACATGTACCCTGACTTGACACCGCTGCAGTGCATCACTTACCATTTTTTGCGCTTATGCGTAGCACTGTGCCAAACATGCATTAGCACAATGTGATCAGCTTGGCATTCAATATGATCGTGTGTGCCCGATTCAGGTACCGCAAGCTGCAGCCGCTTGTGAAGAGACACTTGGGCAGCCTAACGTTGACAAACCTGCATCATTAACAGCTGAAGCCGTGCAGAGGCACAATGCAACCGATCATGGGATGTCTGCCCACATAGCCTTATTTGTTTTTATCTGTTGCATTTTCGCAGGATGCCCTATCTGATAGGCCCTATCTTGTTCATTGTGTTAGCTGTGGTCAAGGCTCTGCTTGTTCGTAGAGGCTGTGCTCAGGTTCCTGCGGTGCTGAGGTATTTGCGAGAAGCACGGCGTGCTGTATGTGCAGCAAAATGCCTTGATCCGCACATGGAGGATGTTCGAAGTGGCGGACACTTGGCAGAGACCAGCTTCAAAGTTGGACTGACGTCTTGGCTGTTCTTCCTTGCCATTGCTAGTGATTGGCCTCTGCAAACTGCAGCTTCCGGGCTTCAGGTTGGAGATGCGTCGATGAAGCGCTGCACAGAGCCTCTTCAGCAAATCACAAGCTGGCGAACAAATGTAACCGCTTGCCTGCTCTTTAATGCGCAAAGCTACCTCTATGTGCTGTCAGGCACTGGTGCCGCCACAGGCATACAACAAGAAGGAGGAATGAGACGCTTGGCGAAACTGAATCTCCTTGTGACAACAAATCATGTATCAAGTTTAGGTTGCTTTGTTGCAATTGGCAAAGCTGTACCCTGGCTTTGTGTTTCAGGCTCAAGGCACAGAGCACGTTTGTCAAGCATTTAGCTGAAGCGTTCACTGGAAATCCAATGACGATATTTCCCTTGGCAAGGTCAATTTTAAAGACTATAAAGCTCCTCATGCAATATTGGTGGGTGGTGCATACATGTGTAGTGTAGTGTAATGCAATGTAATGTAATTGCCTGTATGGATGGAATGAAATGGGATGGGATTGGAATGGAATGGGAATGGGAATGGGAATGGACATGGGAATGGGAATGGAATGGGAATGGGAATGGAATGGGAATGGAATGGGAATGGAATGGGAATGGAATGGGAATGGGAATGGAATGGGAATGGAATGGGAATGGAATGGGAATGGAATGGGAATGGAATGGCATGGAATGGCATGAACTGCAATGTAATGTAATGCAATTCAATGCAATCTAATGTAATGTAATGTAATGTCATGTAATGTACATGTAATGTAATGTAATGTAATGTTGTGTTATATTATGTAATGCAATGTAAGGGAATGCAATGCAAGGCAAGGCAAGGCAATGTGATGTAAGCTGCAAGGTAAGGTAAGGAAATGCAACTACAATGCAATGAAATGCAATGCAATGCAATGCAATGCAATGCAGTGCAATGCAATGCAATGCAGTGCAATGCAATGCAATGCAGTGCAATGCAATGCAATGCAATGCAATGCAATGCAATCATAGTGCAATGTATGTAGTGCCTGTATGTGCGTATGTATGCATGGTAATGTAGTGGAATGGAACGTAATGTAATGTAATGTAATGCACCGTACCGTGCCGTACTGTACGCAATGCCATGGTTTGCTTTGCTTTGCCTTGCAATGTAGTGTATTTGTGTACGAATACTTAGCTGGAGACAACCCAAAATACGAGCAACACAGTCCGCACAATGCGCACACACACACACACACACACTATGTGCGCTGAAATTTCGTGAAGAGTTCAATACTCAGCATTTTTGGGGCAAACACCAAAGCTGCCATGCCTGAGTGCAGCTTGCTGTTGACATGCATGTAGCTGAGGGATAGTAGCCACTGCCTCAGACTCAAACTCGGTGCTTCGAGCATGAGTTTGCTCCAGCGACCTCAAGGTTCCAGCAGTGGTGCATGAGCGCCTACCAGTCTGATTTGGCTAGGAGTCGGATATGGAACGACTAGTGCAATTTCGTGACTTATTTCTTAGGCTGCTTGAAGCGCACGCATGGAAGGTACTTGGCTTCTCACATGCGTGCTTTGCATTGTTTGTTATCCTGATGTGTTTTCCTAAGTTCGCAAACAGTCAACCTTTTCTGCGAAGGCTTACGACATGTTGGGGTTGAAGCTCTAGGAATGGCGTTGCCAATGAACATAAGCAATCACACTTTACTAGAAGTGTGATGCTTGACCAGATGCTTTTTGCTACGAATACTACAGTTTTGGGTAGTGGCTGCTGCTTGCGTTTTTCTCAAGTCCAGCTGGAGGCATCATTTCTGATTGCGATGTACAGGTGTGGAGGAGGTTGCCAGCTAGTTTGTGTTTAGTACGTTTTCCTTGGTGTGTTGGCTGGGCACAAGCGATTGGCTTGATCCGCAGTGCAGCAGATAGATTGGCGGGCAAATCTGATTGCCCGGAGGTCAAAGGCCGCCGACTTTTCTTTGCTGTCAAAAGCCGCCGTTGTGTGTTGCACCTGTGTGATCTCGTGGCTGCGAAATTGCTGCTACCAGCAAGTTTGTGTGAAGCCATGAATAGTCATGAAGGGTCACACCGTCATGCTGCAGATTTTTCAGCACAGCTTGGCCCGTGTAAGTCGCATTTGGTCCTCAGCATAGAGAACCATGTGCAAGTCTGGAGCTTGGTTGGATGTGCGTGGGTCCAAGCCTCCCCTTGGAAGACTGCGAGGTCTGATACCTATGTGCTTGATGCGAGCTTCAAGCCGGACGAGTTCTTGGCAGACATTAAGGCTGCTAAGGCGTCCGGGTCGAGAAGACCGTGGGCGCTGCGTGCTTTTTGCACACCGCAGGCTGCCGTGGGCGAGGCCACAGAGGAGGATGCCAAGCACTTGCAACGCTTGGTCTTCATCTCCCAGGTGTGAATTGAGGGAAGTGTTAGCATGCCATAGAATAGCTTGTCAATTTGTCAGGTCCTTCTGTATGGAGGCGCTGGGGCACGTGGCCCTTGCGAGTTCGCAACATTTCGGATTTCGCTGCCGTGGAGGCCATGTGCTGCTGCTCCTGGGTGCGGCCATGCCTTCTTGGAGCACGGCACTGCTGACCTGCTTTGCAGGATATGACTCGGTCACTAGCGCGTCGTACCCCAAGTTGACCTGCTTACATTCCCAGGCCTTCTCGGCCGTATGCATTCCATGCTGTCATACATCATGCCATTCGGGGGAATCTTCGAGCCTCGGGCTGTTGCAGCTTGTTGCAGGAGCCAGCATGATCAGCTTCGCCCGATGCATGAAATGGACGATTATTGGACACCACGTCTCTCACGGAGGCTTCGCAGCGGGGCTTCCTTCAAAATGAAATCAATTTTCTAGGTACCTCCCCACAGATGCCATGTTAGTGGGGGAGGGGGAGGGTAAGTTTCTATTTTTCCCGAAAGCATGGCGAAGGGTTCTTCCGCTGGGTTCACTTGAGTTGTTCTCATGAGAGTCATTACAAGGTGTCATTGCAAGGAATCATCATCATGAAAGTCATTGCAAGGAGTCATTGCAAGGAGTCATTGCAAGGAGTCATTGCAAGGAGTCATTGCAAGGAGTCATTGCAAGGAGTCATTGCAAGGAGTCATTGCAAGGAGTCATTGCAAGGAGTCATTGCAAGGAGTCATTGCAAGGAGTCATTGCAAGGAGTCATTGCAAGGAGTCATTGCAAGGAGTCATTGCAAGGAGTCATTGCAAGGAGTCATTGCAAGGAGTCATTGCAAGGAGTCATTGCAAGGAGTCATTGCAAGGAGTCATTGCAAGGAGTCATTGCAAGGAGTCTTTGCAAGGAGTCATTGCAAGGAGTCATTGCAAGGAGTCATTGCAAGGAGTCATTGCAAGGAGTCATTGCAAGGAGTCATGGCAAGGATTGCAACTTGCACTTGACTCCTTGCACTTGCAACTTGCACTTGACTCCATGCACTTGGCTCCTTGCACTTGGCTCCTTGCACTTGGCCCCTTGCACTTGCAACTTGCACTTAACTCCGTGCACTTGCGACTTGCACTTGACTCCATGCACTTGGCTCCTTGCAACTTTCAATGGCTCTCATGACTCCTTGCAATGACTCCTTGCAATGACTCCTTGCAATGACTCCTTGCAATGACTCCTTGCAATGACTCCTTGCAATGACTGCTTGCAATGAATTCTTGCCATGACTCCTTGCAATGACTCATTGCAATGACTCCTTGCAATGACTCCTTGCAATGACTCCTTGAAACAAGCAAGGAGTCAAGTGCAAGTTGCAAGTGCAAGGAGTCAAGTGCAATTGACTTGCGAGGAGGTAAAATCTCTTCTTAGGGCGGCGGGGTAGTGCCGACGACACTACACGAAAATCGACCCTCTGCGGGGATCGGCGTGGTCGAGGTGCAAAAACCCATGGTTTTTTGCGATTTCTAACATGCTCGCGCGACCCTCTGCGGGGATCGGCGTGGTCGAGGTGCAAAAACCCATGGTTTTTTGCGATTTCTGCGCTGCTCGCGCGACCCTCTGCGGGGATCGGCGTGGTCGAGGTGCAAAAACCCATGGTTTTTTGCGATTTCTAACATGCCCGCGCGACCCTCTGCGGGGATCGGCGTGGTCGAGGTGCAAAAACCATGGTTTTTTTTGCGATTTCTGCGGTGCTCGCGCGACCCTCTGCGGGAATCGGCGTGGTCGAGGTGCAAAAACTCGAGGTTTTTTGCGATTTCTGCGGTGCTCGCGCGACCCTCTGCGGGGATCGGCGTGGTCGAGGTGCAAAAACTCGAGGTTTTTTTTGCGATTTCTAAAGTTCCCGCACGACCCTCTGCGGGGAATCGGCGTGGTCGAGGTGCAAAAACTCAAGGTTTTTTGCGACTTTTGTTGTTCGAACTGGTCCTCGGGAGTTGTCTCGTGGTTCGCGCGCCTGCTCCCGGAACCGGCGGGTCGCGGGTTCGATTCCTCCATGGTCCGCGGGCGGGCGTCGCAAGATGCAACTTGCATTTTAAAGCAACTTGCGCAGAGCAACTTGCGCAGAGCAAGTTGCACAGAGCAAATTGCGCAGACCAACTTGCACCGACCAGTTTGCGCAGAGCGCCTTGCCTAGAGCAACTTGCGCAGAGCAACTTACGCAGAGCAACTTGCACAGAGCAACTTGCACAGAGCAGCTTGCACAGAGCAACTTGCAGGGAGCGCAATTTGCACAGAGCAACTTGCAGGGAGCCACTTGCAGGGGCCAACTTGCCGGAGCAACTTGCGCGGAGCAACTTGCGCAAAGCAACTTGCACAGTGCAACTTGCGTAGAGCAACTTGCGCAGACCAACTTGCACCGACCAGTTTGCGCAGAGCACCTTGCCTGGTGCTGTCTCGCGCTTGCTTCACAAATGCTT